AACAAATTTTATTGATTTAACAAAAAAATAATTCATTATTCTTTTGATTTATTAGTTTAACAAGATTATTAATTTAGTGAAATTATGTTGTACTATAATTAATTAGGTCTAGGTCGTATTATAATAGTCTAGATTGTATTAAAATGCTAGAAATTTCCAAATGGTCAATACACTTGCTTCCTATTCTATATACTTAATTATATTAAACTATACATGCATGCAAACTCAAATATTTAGGTCCTTCCATCAATGAACATATATTTAATTTACAATAAAATGTGTTTAAACAATTAATTAGCCTCTTTCCGTAATTATTTAAGTTGAGGAGTGTGAGGGATGTAGAAAGATATCACTTTTCTTATTTTTTATTTTTATTTTATTTTATTTTATTTTATCATTATTAGGTTTCTCCACACTAATGATGGAGACTCTTAGTGGCCCTTTTTTCTGTCAAATGATTAATGGGCCATGAATTTTAATTCAAATAATTAAGTATTATCTATAGACTACATAGTTCTACTATTTTATTTTATTTTTTCTTGAAACTTTGAAGCATAAATAAGTTGTAATTCGTTTAAATAAAGAAAAAATACATTAAAATCTCGATAGATTAATAATCTTGCTTAAGTAATGATTTCTTTGGATCCCGGTTCAATGAGGATGTGCTAAATTATTAACTCGATAGTTTAATATTTCGATAAACTAATAAAAATATCTTAGTCCGGACTGTATTAATTTATAGAGGTTTAACTGTATATTTGATGATGCTGAAATAAGATCACCTTAAATAGTTGAAGTAGAATGAGGTGCTCACGAGCTTGATGACCTTGTGATACCTTCGATTATAAAACACGTAAACTAAGCAGGGGGTTGGTCCGGCGGAAACCCCTCCGACGCTCAAGTCAGGTATGTGGATAGCAAAAGTCGTAGAGAGAATACGAGCAGTTGAATGGTTGAATATTGAACGTACCTTAACAAATGAATTGTAATATTTATTTATACCGAGTTGGTTGGGCTGAGATACTTGATTGTAATTGTCGAGGCTCAAATCTTATTTGAAAGTGATTGGACCTCGGTTGTATAGTTGGTCTTCGATATTGGCTCGTGACCCAGTAAATGAAGAAATTGTAAGTCCAATTAGACATATCAATACCGAATTACTAATATAGGGGTAGCGAGAAGGAAAATTCTACATTATTTTATCTTGGGGAAGTAGTAAAAACTCAAAAAAAAAATGCTAAAATATATTTTATTGTCCAAGGGTTTTAGTGAATAATAACTAATTAGTTAATTAATATGCTTACTATTGATAATGTCATGCTTACAACATCAATGATCACATTGACAAATATATTAATTCATGTGAATCTATTTCAATAGACAAACCTTTTAATTATTATCCTATGTACATATATATTCTGTTTTTGGGCATAAATGCAAACCTATTTTATTGGGAAATACAAAATTGCTTTGAGCCCCTAAAAAAACTCTTCATTCCATCTATCTCTTATAGGTGAATAAATACCCGATGCCTCAAGGCACTAGTAGAGTATATTGGGATTCACATATATTAAAATTATACTTCGAGTATATATATATATTACGTATACAATATATAAATAACTCAAGTATTAAAGTTCCATCTAATTAAATCATGGGATTACTTGAGAACAAGAAAAAGAAAAAAAGAGATTTGAAAGGGCTTATAAAGTTGGAGAAATTAGTTGGAAACCCCTCAAAAATATTTTATATATCTTTTAGGACATGTAGTTTTGACTTTCTCGTTTGGATCTGATGCTAAATCTTGAGTCTTTGTAACGGGATTGCTTAGATAAAAAACTAATAATAACTGTAATGGTGATTCGAACAGGTTAATTATATTAGAGCAGAAGGGTGCTTACTTAATTATTTGTCAATAGATCTACTCTATCGGCACAAGGTGTATCACTTGTATAGTTGTATATATTCCGATTCCAATCCAAATATTATATATATATATATATATATATATATATATATATATATATATATATTCAAAATTCATAATAAAAAATATTATTAAAAAATTGAAATTTTTTTGTTGGAATCAATTTCCACCACTAGGGTTTGTCCATAGATGTTCATGTAACCACGATAAATTGCCTTTCAATCTAAATTTTTATCTTTCGAGTAACTTTGAGCTAGCTACTATACTTTTATTAACTTTCTTGTATTATAACACTTGATTATAGTAGGTAATGAAATAAAAATGTAAAATGTAAATAAATATATATAATTTGAATGGTCCTATGTGGTCCGATGCTATTACCATTTGTGTCCCCTTAGGGGCATGATGGGTTTGCCATTCCAAGGCTTTTCAGTTGTGCTTTTTGGGCAACATTCTTTCTAATGTCTTT